GAAATGTATAAAGTTTACTACCAAGGTCTTAATGTTTCTCTAATCTCTTTCGCCTAATATTGCCGATAACTTTCTGTAAATGCCGTTCATATGCTGTTCTGCAACACATGAGTACACCGCACGCACGCCGCTGCGCACAAACAACAAGAATAAAGAACTCTTTATTCTTGTTGTTTGTGCACAAGAGTTGTACCAGGGCCGTATACTTCACTTATAATCGTATTCTTCTACTTATTACTACCTCACTTAATTTCGTATTCTATTACCTATTTCTACTTCACTTATTCCTGCATTAACCGCGCGCGTGTGTGTGTGGGGGGTGTCGTGATGGACAACGATGAGCTGTGGAGGTTACACAACGGTTTCACAACAAGTTCTGCCACGGCAGTGAGACACAGCGCTGGGCCTATAAGCGACTCCCTCGCTCGTATGCCGCACATCGCGTTTCCGCGTCGCCTTATATGTCAATGTCACTCAAATATAGACATCAGATCGTTGACGATACCATTATATCGCCGATGATCGATCAATTGATAATAATATTGAATATATTGGAAAATATTGATAATAATCGATTAATACCTGAAATATCGCGATGCTGACTCCAGCGCCAACGACAACATCGAGGTTCTCCCTAAAGTACGTGCCAAGACTCGGACTGCAGCCCTGCAATGGAAACAACATCTCCATGCGAGAGGGAACGAAAAGTTGTGAAGTGTCAAGTGTCGCGGTCCGGTCCCGTTCAGAGCCGTGTATAGAGATATCTCTTTATACGGCTCTGATCCCGTTGACTCCGATTGCCGGTGGCGCTATCTATACATGCATCGTTGTCGCCAACCCTGAAGGCAGAAGTTGACCGCACAGAGAGAACGTTGTTCTACCATCTATCTATCTATCTATCTATCTATCTATCTATTTGTCTGTCCGTTTTTTAATACGCGAGCTTTCAAGACTTACATCTCTTCAACAGGTTTTCAGCCGACATTGAATTGATTTCAGCATGTTTGCTGAAAGCCTGTTGAAGAAATGTACGTCTCGAAAGCTCGCGTATTAAAAATTTAAACACCTTAACTTATTATTTGATTTTTTGTTTGTTTGTTTGTCTACATGGGTGTTTGTGTGTGATTTTACTTCTATCCATTTGTCCCTCTGTTGTGCTCTATCTTCGCCTTTAGCCATCTACGCCCAAAGATTCTTCTTGCCACCTTCTCTTGCCACCTGTATCCATCTTCTCTTCATTGCTCTCTCCCTGCATCAACATCCATTCTTCTGCCCTCGTTCTTCTCACTCACCCGCGCCACCTACTCCTTTCCCCAAACCTTTACCCATCATCTCTTCCCCCTTCCTGACTTCCTCCTCGTCCCTATACTACCCCCTCTCTCTTTTCATGTTCCACCCTCCCTCTGCTTCCACTGCCCCCACCCCTCTACGCGTTAATTAGGTGAGCGGCGCTATCGACCTGTACTTTTTTTTTCATCTAACTAACAAAGCATCTCTATCGACATGCAACCAGGCAAACGTGGACGGTTATTCCATACGCGCTTAGATCACTACGTCGGCTGCCGACCGTGGCCGACGTAACGAGAGGCGGGTCAGCATGTTGTCGGCAGGAGCGTCGACTAGCGTGTTAGTAGCCGATAGATAGAGAACACTGTTAGTAAGAAAACATGGCCGCGATCGGCCGCGGCGTCTGCCACGAATGCTCTTAGTTACCGAGACTAGCCGCTCCACGCGCCGGCTAGTAATAGCTGTACTTGTCTTGCTTCGTCTTTTCCGCTAATTGCACGCAGAATATCGCCGTTATAAAGGCGCCGATGAACTGGCGGAGAGAAATTAAAGCTTGAAGCTGAAAGCAGTGTGTGTGTGGGGGGGGGGGAGATGGCCTCGTGGAAAGATAATACGCTTGAGCGTGGCTTTTCTTTCTGCGCTCGGGTCATTGTACGAGCGGAAGCTGCAGCCCTCGCTGCCTCGCACACATAGGCACTTGGAACGTTTCAATAGTAAAATGCTGGTATATAAACACGAAATGTATAAAGTTTACTACCAAGGTCTTAATGTTTCTCTAATCTCTTTCGCCTAATATTGCCGATAACTTTCTGTAAATGCCGTTCATATGCTGTTCTGCGACACATGAGTACACCGCACGCACGCCGCTGTGCACAAACAACAAGAATAAAGAACTCTTTATTCGTGTTGTTTGTGCACAAGAGTTGTACTAGAGCCGTATACTTCACTTATAATCGTATTCTTCTACTTATTACTACCTCACTTAATTTCGTATTCTATTACCTATTTCTACTTCACTTATTCCCGCATTAACCGCGCGCGCGCGCGTGTGTGTGTGTATGTGTGTGTATGTATTAGATAGATAGACTAGATAGGATAGATAGATAGATAAGATAGAATAGCATAGATAGATAGATAGATAGATAGATAGATAGATAGCAATTCAGATAGATAGATAGATAGATAGATAGCATAGATAGATAGATAGAATAGCATAGTATAGATAGATATGATAGATAGATGATAGATAGATAGATTAGATAAGATAGATAGATAGATAGATAGATAGGATAGATAGATAGATAGAAGACTAGATAGATAGATAGATAAGATAGATAGCATAGACGGAACGACGACGACGGACGGTACCGGACGGTTGTACGGACGGTACGGTACGGCTTTTACGAACGGGACAACAAATAGAATAGATAGATAGATAGATAGATAGATAGATGGTTTTTTAGAACAACGTTCTCTCCTGTGCGGCAACTTCTGCCTCAGGCTTTTGCGACAACGATGCATGTATAAGATAGCCGCCACGCGCAAATCGGAGTCAACGGCGATCAGAGCCGTCATAAAGAATATCTCTATTACACGCGCTCTGAACGCGCGACCGGGACCGCGACCACTTTGACACTGCAACTTTTCGGTTCCCTCTCGCTATGGAGATGTTGTTTCATTGCCAGGGCTGCAGTCCGAGTCTTGGCACGGTACATTTAGAATAACTACGGGAGAACCTCTGATGTTGTCGTTGGCGCTGCGAGTCCAGCATCGCGATATTTTCAGGTATTAATCGCATTTATTATCAATATTTTCCAATATATTCAATATATTATCAATGATCGATCATCGGCGGATATTTTAAAAATTGCGTATCTGTCAACGATCTGATGTCTATATTGTGAAGCTGCAACATTGACATAGAAGGCGACGCGGAACGCGACTGTGCGGCATACGAGCGAGGGAGTCGCTACGGCACCCAGCGCTGTGTCTCACTTGCCGTGGCGGAACTTTGTTGTGAAACCGTTGTTGTAACCTCCACAGTCATCGTCTGTCCATCACGACACCCCCACACACACACGCGCGACGGTTAATGCAGACATAAGTTGAAGTAGAAATAGGAATAGAATACGAAATTAAGTGACTAGGTAGTAATAAGTAGAAGAATCGATTATAAGTGAAGTATACGGCCTGGTACAAACTCTTGTGCACAAACAACAAGAATAAAGAGTTTTTTATTCGTGCTTGTTTGTGCGCAGCGGCGTGCGTTGCGTGTACTCATGGTTGCAGCAACAGCATATGAACGGCATTTACAGAAAGTTATCGGCAATATTAGGCGAAAGAGATTAGAGCAAACATTAAGACCTTGGTAGTTAAACTTTATAATTTCGTGTTTATATTACCAGCATTACTATTGGAAACGCCTTCCAAGTGCTAATGGCGGAGCAGCGAGGCGTTGCAGCTTCCGGCCGTACATATGACCGAGCGCCAGAAGAAAAGCCCGCTCAAGCGTATATCTTTTTCCACGAGGCGATCTCCCCACACACACATCACACACATCAACGCACGCACGCACCCACACAACACAACACACACACACACACCACACACACACACACACACACAACACACAAACTACGCACACACACGACACACACACACACACACACCACGCACACACCACACACACGCGCTAGACACACACAAACACACACACACACCACACACGCACGCACGCACAACACACCACACGCACACACACACACACACACACGCACACGCACGCACACCACACACGCTACGCACACACGCACACACACACACGCACACACACACCACACACACACACACACACAGCGCACGCACGCCACACACACACACACACACACCACAGCGACACACACACAGCACAGCACCACACACACACAATCACACACAGCGCCACGCACGCACGACCCACACACAGCATCACAACAACACACACACAACACGCACACACGAACACAGCAGACACCACACAACAACACACACCCTACACACGCACGCACGCACGCACACACACACACACACACACGCACACACACACACATACACGCACGCCACACACACAACACACACACACATACACACACACACACACACCACACACACATCACACACACGCACACACACACACACACGCAGACACACACACACACACACCACTTACACACTCGCACGCACACACACACACACGCACACACACACACACACACGCACACACACACACACACACGCACGCAACACTCCGCCAACGACACACACGCACACACACACACAGCGCACACACGACACACACACACACACACACACACACACATACGCGCTGCAGCACACCGCGCATAACCTGCGAAACAACGGCAACCAACTATATCATTCACAACCCACGACTGGACACATGAGCAGGAGACCGTGGAGCCGACACATACATCAACTCCGCCGCTCTCAGCACATCGCGACACATGGATTCAGACTCCACCGTATATGCTATAGCAACCAACACACGCCTAGAGACTGCGTGAAGACTGGCAACATCAAGTGATCGGCGCACACAAACACATCACGCCGCACTGCACACGACAATTATCGTCCATACAACGCACTCGACCGACTTCTACCCGCGCTTACTCCCCATCTAAACCATAATCAGACTAACAATCACGATTCAACATATC